TTTTTGGCAAACAAAATGAATATTAATACATGATTGGCTGTGTTAAACATATAAATAAGGGATAATGTACAGCGAGCGGGTCATTATTGCCATATGAAACATTTGCAGAGGGGTCTTAAATCATTATGAAGGGGTTCATTTCACAATAATGATCCGCTTGCTGTACATTATCCCGCTTATTACACGGCTATAGAAATTAATCATGTGACACAAAATATTGATTTAAAGAAGAAGAACAATGACATATGTCGGATGTTTTTCCTTTTTTCAGTTATGTTTAAATTATTTGTAACCTAAAAGTTTCCTTGTGCTTTTATGTTTATCCCTCTAGTCTAAATAAAATGTATAAATGTGAAATAGTTGTATATGAACATAATCTGTTGGCCTTTAGCAAAAATACATCCTAACATGACGGCTTGCTTTTAAAAGCCACTTATGGACCAGTTTCAGTGTCTGCAAATGACTCTCTCTGACATGCAAGTAAAATACTCAAACACACACACACACCTCACAAATTAACAGAGCTGAGTATTTATTGTGTTGGTGCTGTTGGAAGAATTTACTAGAAAAGGCTGTCAGCTCTGGGACGCATGGATTCTTGAGGACACACCCTCCCTCCAGCAGCTGAGGTTACTGTATATAGCCTACAGTATTTAGCTGTGATCACTCTGCTTGTCATGCACTTAAAGCAACACACCTCGGGATACGCTTATCTTTTGCTCAGTATTTGAAACATAAATGTTTTCATATTACCATGATAGCTGCACTTGATTTGTCTACAGCTTTTCCATCTGCGAAACATACTATCGAGTAACCACGTGAAGAGTTATTTTGGCCTCCCAGGGTTCTGGAGGTAAAAGTCCTGAATGGACATAGGCGCACTTCCAAGGCTTAAATGGACACAAAACTTGTTTGAATCCTGAGTAAACAGATGAAAAACTGCTTTACAAAATATCTGGTTCTTTTTATAAAAAAAAGAAAAACTCACAGGCACAAACCTGTGTACATGAAAACGGAAGGACAATACTACGATTGTCAAGGTTGCATTTTGTTGTGGCAATTTATCATGTTGTTCTCTTTTGATGAAACTTGTATCGCTTAACTCAAGTTTTGTCTTGCTGTAGCCTCAACATGATGGTCGTGGGAGCTCACAAACTAACCCTTTCTCACAACAGGCAGGAATAACAAGGGACCCGGCCTTGGCATCTTGACTCCATCCGAAAACGGAGAGCGCCAGCGAAGTGGTGAGGGGAGACGAAATAATGTGCAGTTTGTGTGAAACAGATACTCTGTAAAACCTTCTGTGGGGAAGAGCGTTGACCATTCAGCTGAATTATTCTAAATGTCATGAAAATACTTAAAGACAATTGAGAGCTTTCTCATCACGTTTATTTCTCACAGGTAAATTAATAAGAATCCTTTCCACCACACATTTCAGCTGTGTGTGCAACTTACATTAAGCAGAAGCTGAGTTCAAATGGAATAATGTGGTCATTATTATCCTAAATGTTGGGCTGCTGGTATAGTTTATTTATATGGCACATATCAAAATCATCCATCAGTGCTTTACAAAGAAAATAGAAACAGAAACACTTATAGAAGCAAAACACATATATAAAAGCAAACACTGTATGCATACACAAGGAAAGTAAACTGTTTCAAATTTTATATGCATACATGTTACACAAATTTCACACATGTGAACCCCTGAGACCGCAACTACTGTAGTACCTGCAGATCCAGAGTCTGTTGAACACATGTTGTCTGTGTGCCCTCACCCAGCACTCTACGGTGTCTATTTTCAGCCCAAACGAGGGCACAAACAATTTGTGCTGTGAGCTGCTTCTCCCCTTCAAGCTCTATTTTTCGTGAAAAAGACATGTTTCTTTCTGTAATTAAGTCAGTAGATGTTGAGAGCCACCTTGCCCAAACTCCTTTTCTTGTTTTATCAGGTGCACGGCTTAACCTGAGCGCTATGACTGGAGATATCTTATGAAATGTGGCTTGGGCTTTATTTTAAATCATTTTGGATTATAACTCAGCGAGGAAGAGTTTGGAGAAGATACCGTTTGTGATGTAGTACAGCGCTCTTGTATAGATGTAACTACGTGGTGAACTCCCTGGTAAATAAGACAATCCTCTGAGGATAGACATATATCATCACTCTGCAGCCATGAATGAAGTTGTTTTTCAGGTTGGTGCCTCGTCCACATAGCACAAGCTCAGTTAGTCATCAAAGCCACCAAAACCTTTTAGAAAATGTTGTTTTAGAAGCCAGCGAGTACATTGACTTGGCTGAGCAACCGTAACTTGACTGTGTATGTTGGAGCAATTGTCTGTCATAGGATAAGAGAATAAAACGTTCACAATACATCACACATCTGATCTGACGAAAGTATCACCAGTTCGGACATTATCTGCTTAAATATCACTGTTATATTCTTGTATTAGCAAATATCTTTCTGTTGAATAAATGTGTTTTTTAGTTTTTAAAATGGTTTTCAGCTGTTGTTTTTTCCATTATTCCTGTATTTTCATTTCCCTTTTTTCTGGAAAGTGTCTTTGTGCTATTATCATGTGCTTTGTGTGCTCTTAGCACCACCGTGTGGCGTCTTCCCAAGTGCTAATTGTTTATAGAGTTTGTGAAGACAGAACGTTCCATCCACTACTTAGCGCAGCCTTTATAGAGCATCTGATCAAGTCATTCATGACGAGACACTACCAATACATTTTGAGAGTTTGGGCTATTTTGCTTCCATGACATGTCTTCTTTCAGACTAGTGGAAAGAAATAATTCAAAATACACATGTAGGTGTTCATCTTACTATTTTGTTTAAAGGTTACCATTAGATAAGCACATGCAAACATATCATTTCAGAAAACAAATACAAAAATACTTGAAATTGAAAGTTTCTTGGTGATATCTAAGATTTTTTAAATCCTATTTACCTGTAGTGTCTTACAAAATGTATGGGATTTTACAATAGATGTTATTAAAATAAGACTTCCAGGGCTCAATAATTGACAAAGAATGAAGAAAAAAACCCCTCATGTAATACATTTTTTCTTGAGATTTCAAGTGAGATTGTGTTTTTTCCAGGCTATTTTGGTGGGGCACATATAGAAAGAGATGTGCCCCACCAAAGAGATGGGACAGACAAGCTATGGATCAGTGACGCTGCTAGTTGCTGCTGAATATATAAGATCCACAGCAGAAACTCAAACCCTGCATTCATAACATAACGTTTTTAACGACTAACTGAACACCCCCCTGAAAGTCTTGTCTTTGCTGACATCCAGTGGTTTAACATTTCACCTTGCTGCAGTGAACATCCTGTGACATCATAAGATAAACTGGAAACGTTCAACCAGAGAGGGCAGCAAAACACAGCTTTTCAACTTGGTGTAAAGTTTTTATTTAACGCGGCTGTGAAGTCTCTGATTTCAGGGGCTGTGGAATATGACCTCTTTTTTGCACTGAAATACACCTGCAACACACACACACACACACACACACACACACACACACACACACACACACACACACACACACACACACACACACACACACACACAGTATACAACACATGCATTGGAGGAAGGTCTTGTGTGAAGGTGGTTGTGCATCAGAGGTAGACTTGACACTAGCATCCTCATGTGGTACATGACTAAAGTGCACTTTATTTTATAATGAATTTCCTTATTTTTTGACGTTCACCCCTTGCTCTTCAAACTGGGCAGCAGTGCTGCACTGTGTACACTGATATGTTATTATGTAGATCAAGTATGACTAGTCTTCATTTTTAAGTTGTAAAAAACACTAAAACACACACAAACAACCAAGGTGATGGGCTGGGATTACAGAGAAGAGAAGGACAAAATGCAAACAATTCTAAAATGCAGAACCCTAACTTCAAAGAAAATATGTTCTTGTAAATGTACAAGCTTAATTGTTTTATTGTTAATATCAAAGATTTTATTATGCTACCTTTACATCCGCTCAGATTTATTATTTTCAGTATATTCAAGCTGGAGATGGACAACTGACAGAGAGGAGGAGTTCAGGATGTTTGCCACAAAGGATCGATCCAGGGAGGGGACAGAATTCAAATGGAGCCAATCACTAATCGACCAGTCAGACGTTTTAGGACAGTTTCGGACACTTTCCGACTGTCAGGGGATATAAAAGACAACGTTCTAGAGAGCACTCCTTAGACCACTTCCGCCCCTCTTTTTCAGCACCTGGAATGGCCAGACCTGTGAGGAGGACGCGTGCATGTGGTCTCTGTTCTCAAGAACATTACTATTGATAGTTAATTCAGTTTGTAAGTGAACTTTGTGTAGTACATTAAATATTGATTTGATTTTTAACCAGATCCAGCTAATATTTCTGGTGCGCGTGCGCAGTAAGAAGCTCGCAGCAGAAAAGTTCCTGCGGCCTAGCGGCTCTCATCCTTTGTTTTAAGCCTCAACAACAGAAAAGTGAACACAAAAGCAACACATTCTCACATTTCAGAAGCTGGAAAATAAAATGATTCTTCATTTTTACTGGAAAATGCTACACAATTATTTGATAGAAGAAAAGTTGTTACGTGACATCATATTTTTACACTTAATACATATTTGGACACATTCTTAGGTTTAGCTACTTAGGCACAATATGGTTGCTTTATAAACTGAAAATCATAAGCCACATTTAGCATCATAGCAGTGCTCACATTTTGCCATGATAAAATAAATACAATTGAGTCAATGGAACAAACTGGAATTATGCAATCAATACTTAAAGTTCCCCACCAATTTAACTGAACTCAAAACAACTGAATTAATAATAAATGAGGAAGCTAGAGTTATGACCTTACATTACCTTACAGTTCCAACCTGAGCCTTTTCAAAGGAGCCCCTCCCTTTTTAATCACCTCCTTGATACAAGCTGTAGAACCCAGAGGGAGATCTGTGCCATCACACTTCGCCCTATTGGTTTAGAGTGACAGTTGGTAAGGAATGCTTTTCCTGCTTTCAATGCACCATAGAATGGGAGTATGTTTGATTTGTATTTAAGGTATCCTTTTACTCACCAGCCAGCAGATACCTTCACCTCCTGCAAGAGTTTGTTTGCAAGAAAAATGAAGCGGAATATTTTCTCAGTTGTAAGGTATGTGTCTCATGTTTCAATTTGCTTTTATTATCTGGTGATGGAATTATTTCCAATTAATAAACAAATATTAAATATTGGTACATTTCATTACAACGACTGACAATAAAACATTAATTATTAATTAAAGGATCAGTTTCCCTTGTAAGGTCTGTGGATTATTCAGAGCGACCGGGGACATCGTTTCTGGACATACAATGTTTTTCCTAATTTAACTTTTAAATTTGCTGCATCCATCAAAATTATTTTTTCCCCAGTTTTTTTTTTTTTAATTGGGAAAATTGGATAAGGAGATAATAAAAACTGTAGAATAGCCCTCCCACAACACATAGAAGGTATGTACAATAAAGTACGAGTTTTAAGGTAAATATTTTTTAGTAACATCAAAGACCAGAGTTTCTCACAAAACAACATTACTTTCACCATGTTCTTCAGCACTTGTTCTCTTTTTATTTTTTTGCTTTTGCATTGTTTTAGTGGCCTCAAGGCAAGGAGTGGCACAATCTGCTGTTTTTTGTTGCTTGTTGTCAGCGTGACTTTATTTTTGAGGTGAGTAAAATAGTCATCATTATTGCTCTTAAAGACCTATATGAGCACATATTCCAGCCTATTTGATTCATTTTCAAGAGTCACTAAAAAGGATTTCCTTCTAGTCTCATGAAGATCATCGTCCCTGCGGACTACCTGCCGGTGTCCAATGGAAAATTGCTGAGACAGAGCATCAATTTAGACAACACACTTAACTTTGGGTAAGAGATCTCTTTAGTTTTGTCTGCAAAGACTGAGAAATGAAGGAAATGTATCTGAAGGGCATTGCCACACACATAGCCCAACGGCTGTCATAGAGAGATTGATGCAAATGATAACTGCACAACAATAAGATCTGTGATTAATATTTACACATATAACATTTGAGATGACAAAACCAAAAACACTTTACAACGTCTTGATTTCTTCCTTCGTAAACGTGGGTAAACACGCTAAAAATAGGTGATAGACTCCTTTAATGTGTATTTTGGCAGTGGTCCCAAAGAACAAAGAGCAGGCAATCCGGATGTTTGTGCACCTTGGAAAAGATCTGTTCAGCCAGGAGTTGTAAGGCCCCACCAACACAGGCCTGAAGTGGGATGTAAATCAGGCAGGGTAAAGGAGGCAAGCCCCCGCTGTGAATAAAACAGTTTGCATTAATGAAAAGGTTTACATACAGTGTTGCCAACTCCTCAGTAAGGAAAGTAGCTATTGGCTGTCCTAAAAGTCACCAATTTGCATAATTGTAAAAAGTGAGTAAAAAACACCCTAAATATGTTTAGAACAAATGAACTTTCTTCTGTTCATTCTTTTTTATTTTGCCATTGAAATAGGCCATCACTTTTTATGTACCCCATTGTTAATCCCCGTCATAACGGAGGCATTGTCAGTCGTATACACAGGAGTTTCTCATTTTTAAAAGACATTTACATCCACATCCCACTATGCAAGCCAGGGCGGGATCAGCGGCGGCTTTGCGCATGCGCGATTCATTTGCAGTCTGGACGCGGATAGTGTGCGTCTCCTCTCTGTTCTGACTGCAGCTGGGACTGCTGCGCCAGGTTACTGTGAGACTGATCGCCTGTGAGTGGTTTGGGATGGCGGAGGGGCTCACGGCAGCACCCGCTGCTCGTTGAGGACAGTGACTGCAGAACGACACGTGCTTTCACGTCAGAATCTCCAAAACACCAGAAAAGTCGCTAGATTTGTCGCTATAGCCTTTGACAAAAAAAAGTCGCCAAGAGGATCTGGAAAGTCGCCAGATTTAGCGAGAAAGTTGCAAAGTTGGCAACACTGGTTTAAGTGAGGAGCGTACGTTTTCGTGAGAAGTCTGCTTGCTTTGTGAGAAGCAGCAGTTTTAAATCTCCTCCCCATATGGCTGTTTAACACATACGTATCTTAGTTTTCATTTTCTATTCTTGGAAACATCTTGGAAAGCTCCTATCATCTGGGAAGGGATGTTTGACCCCAATCTTTTTGACCAAAAACACATCCAAAGCCAGTCATCTGTGGCCCTCACCGTGTTTGCTGTGGGAAGGTTTGTTTCTCCTGTGATCGTGAAAATACCAGCACTTCCACACTAGCATATGACAAACATGAGTGGAGATAAAGAAACCCTGAATCCACATGAACAAGATGCAGCTAGGTCAGTTGGGGCTGAATAACTAACTGTAAAGAAAGGAAGGAACCAGTGTGAGAAGACACTGTATTGTGTGGCATTAAGCCTTACTAAACATGGATGGTAGTAGAGGTGCGATGCGTGATAATTTTTTTTATAACATTCAATACGTCATACCACTTTTTTCCCTTTTTTTCACAACATTGTTGTCTAACAATAGTGCACTTCAATACGAAAACCATCATGGAAATGTAACACACATGACAGCAAACCTGCAGAAATAGAGGGATGGAGGACAACTGAGGTTGAGTTCAAGCTCAAAGTAATGACCGTAGTGTTGAAATAAAAGATCAGCAAACGTGAGCACATGTCTCATGTCTCAAATAATGCAATATATCCTCATGCAACGGTTCGTATGTTATCTTACGAAAAAAATAATGTTTTTGTGCGTTTTCCTACTAAAGCTAGCAACACATGTTACATGCATACCCTCTTTTCAAAATAAACGTCCGTCTTCACGGGAAACAACGTAGTTAGGTTTAGGCAGAACAACTACTGAGTTAGGTTTAGAAAAATATCGTCGTTCGGGTTAAATAACTAAGGAAGTGCCATTACTGAAGTACGCAAGCTACGTGACAAATAAATTCGGACACCCGAGAATTACGGCGCATCATTTACGAATTATGTACGAAGTACGAATGGTGGATGAGAACAGCCTGAATATTGACATAAAAAACATAACCGTGTATTCTGGTCATTTTTTGTCGCGTTTTTTGTTTTCTAATCATAATAATTGTTTATCTCTCCGTCTCTACCTAAGGTACCTAGATGCCTACCTCGGAACTTTCATTACCTCTGCAGAAAAACATTTTATGTTGGGATTACAAGTGACATATTACGTGTTCACGGATCAAGCAGATAAGGTGCCGATCATCGAGCTTGGTCCTCGGCGAAGCCTGAAGGTTATCCAGGTGGAAAAGCACTCCAGGTGGCAGGACATCTCTATGATGCGCATGAAAACTATATCAGAGGCCATAGAATCAGAGATTCGTCCCCACTGCAATTATGTCTTCTGCTTTGACGTGGATCAGGAGTTTAAGGGAAGATTTGGCTCAGAGGCTCTGGGGGATTCTGTGGCTTTACTACATGCGGGGTATTTTAATGTTCCAAAGGATAGGTTCACCTATGACAGAAACCCCAAATCCAAAGCATATATGGAAACCGGAGATTACTACTACCATGCTGCTATCTTTGGAGGCTTGTGTGAAAATGTGAAGGATTTGGCAGATTACTGCTTTCTGAGTATCATGGAGGACAAACTAAACAATGTGGAGGCTTTGTGGCATGATGAGAGTCATCTAAACAAGTACTTTTGGCTTCACAAACCAAGCAGGCTGGTCTCACCCGAGTACTGCTGGAACCCGGGTATGAATGACGAAAGGGACATAAAAGTCATCCGCCTAATATGGGCTCCAAAACATTATGACACACTTCGTACTCGGTAGAGTGGCGAGAAGAAACAACTTTCCTGAAAATCCAACTCATGTAAATATTAATGGTTGTTTTTGTGTACAAGAATGTGTAACAAGGATTATGCTGACAAAAGACATGTCAAATTTTAGTTATTAAATATTTTAAAGATGTCTTCAGTAAATGTTTTTAGGTACCAAAAACACAAATTGGTGAAAACAAAAAACCAAGATGGCAAATGCGAGGCTTCAAACCATAGTCCAAAAACCAATGAAAAAAGTCATGTCCCTCCATCAACTTACTATATACAGTACATAGGGATATAGACTGCTCATTCTAAGTGGTACAGGCCATTGAATCAGAGTAGTATGCCTTTCATATCAGTGATATGTCTATATATATATATTATCCTCATGAGTTCAGTTAAGCCGGTCATTAAAGATGTTATGACTTCATTTGTTTTCTTCTAAACATGCAGTACATTGTGAGTTTTGTGATGTAATACAAATGTCCCTTTATTATTTGTCTTGAGAACATGTATTAAACTGCAAAATATATGTATTGAATGTCTATTGTAATTATTTTATTTGTTGGGAATTAAATACAAAAGTATTGGGTTGTATTACCCTTTGTAAATAAATGGTAATATTCTGGCATATTCCGTAAAATCACCGTAAAACACAGTTATCCTACTATCACATAATGTAATCCAGTATACGGTAAGATACCGTACAAGTAAATTACGGTTGCTTGACTGTAAAAAACTGTAAATTACTGGCGTCTCTGCTGCCAGTAAGTTACCATTATTTTACAGTGAAATTGTTTAGAGTGCACACAGTCTTAGTATTTAAAACCTGTATTGGTTTTAAATGTAAGTATTTAAAAACAAACCTGTCATGATCGTATATGGGACGGCAGGAAATTCCATTCCATTACTTATTTTCTTAAAAGCATTATGATAATATTGCCTGTATTAGTGGGTGTTTGCAATGCATCTTAGAGATAGCCATTGTTTCAAAGTGGAGGCTAGTGGTCGTAAAAAGGATAAGGATGTTTATTGTCATTGTAAAAACATACAACGAAATTGAGTTGGTGACTCATCAGTCAGTACAGCACCTCCAAATCTGAGGCCATGGTGCTCTGCCGGAAACCGGTGGATTGCTCCCTCCAGGTGGGGACAGAGTGCCTACCTCAAGCGAAGGAGTTCAAGTATCTCGGGGTCTTGTTCACGAGTGAGGGTAAGATGGAGCGGGAGATCGACAGACGGATCGGTGCGGCTGCAGCAGTAAAGCAGGCGCTGCACCGGACCGTCTTGGTGAAGAGGGAGCTGAGCCGGAAGGCAAAGCTCTCAATTTACTGGTCGGTCTCCGTTCCTACCCTCACCTATGGTCACGAACTCTGGGTCGTGACCGAAAGGACAAGGTCGCGGCTACAAGCGGCCGAAATGAGCTTCCTCCGTAGGGTGGCCGGGCTCAGCCTTAGAGATAGGGTAAGGAGCTCGGTGATCAGGAGGGAGCTTGGAGTCGAGCCGCTACTCCTTGGCGTCGAAAGGAGTCAGCTGAGGTGGTTCGGGCATCTAATTAGGATGCCTCCTGGACGCCTCCCACTGGAGGTTTTCCAGGCACGTCCAACTGGGAAGAGACGCCGGGGAAGACCCAGAACACGCTGGAGGGATTATATCTCCCAGCTGGCCTGGGAACGCCTCGGGATCCCCCAGAATGAGCTGGAACATGTTGCCGGGGAGAGGGAGGTCTGGGTCAGCCTGCTGCCACCGCGACCCGACCCCGGATAAGCGGAGGAAAATGGATGGATGGATGGATCAGTCAGTACAGCAGCAACAGGTAAAAAGTGAATTGCACACCTGGGTGGCCCACTTTACCACACAGCAGCCACCTGTGTCATTCAGCTGACCTCAAATCAGCTTGGACCTGTCTGACTGAAGGCAATGACGCATTATTCATAGACACCATCTGGAACATCCGCCCACCCTGCCATCGTACCACTCACCCTGTCAAAGACATACAAGCAAGAAAAGGGCAGACTAGAAGCAGAACAGTGCAGGAAGTGCAGTTGCACTGGGGCCGCTGGGATGGGGGGGGACCCATAGAGACAGGGTGGGGGACCCATAGAGACAGCAGGCCCTGGGCGGAGAATGGGCTCTTGCAGGTAAATCAGATAATCACCTCGGAAATATCCTTGTGTTAAAAAAACAACAACCTTTCGTTAGTGGTGACACAGGAGTGGTGACACAGTACACCACTTCCTCAAACGCTGAAGAAAGAAAGAACTCATCTGTAATTTGAATACAATGAAAATAATAAGTCTGTATTTGTTTGCATTTCTCTCCTTCCTGTACTGCTTAGGTACACCCAAATGACAAACAATGATCTTTTCATATATTGTGGGTTGTGTCAGGCCATGTCAACCCTGGCTCTTTTGTAGCCTATAATGTCTGAGGTTGTTTGAGTTTGCTTTAGCATCAGACCAAACCTGTTGAAACCTGTTTGAGTAGAGTACGAAATCTGAACTGCTGCCACAATAAGTGTTGTTACCAGAACAGTCATTGCCCAACCCAGTAAACTGTATACGTGACGTGCATGTCTAAAAAAAACCTGCCTGGAAAATGTTTCTCGCGACGCGTCTCAATGTGATCGGTCCCTAAGGAGACAGGGCTGCACATCAAAATACAACTATTAAACTAATGGAGGCAAAGTCTGTAACAGGCAGATTCATGTGTTGCCTATAATGTGGTTCCTCTCCCATTGAGTGTAATCCTGGGTTTTGCAGAAACTTTAATATTGAAGTTGCGTTTGTTGCCCACACATGTCTGTGTGAAGGATTTTGTCCTTTCAGTTTAATAACCATCACAAAAGCAGGATGGATTGTTTGTTTCACAACTGAGAAATGTGCTGCTTGTAGTTTCTGCGTTCAGTTCAGTGTGATTTTGTGTAAATGGCTGAATGTGTCAGAGTGTTTTCTTTCTTGTTTTTTTTTGAAGACTTACAAATCTAATAGTTAATTCTAGAATCTGGCTTTTCTTGTGAGGCAATGCAGTGTTTTGCGAAAGGTGTCCTGTTCACAATGCAGTCAGCCGTGATCAGTAAACGCATTATGGCTCTCCTCGTGGTGTCTTTTGTGTTTGATGGAGGTTTTTCTGCACCCCTACAGGGCAGGTAGGTCTGCTTTACTTCTGTTACAAACATGAAATTGAACCCAGATAGGGCGAGCAGGACTTTTCAATAATGACTCACTCACTGTAAATCCTCCCGCTTATTACACAGCTTATTACTAAAGAGATCAATTCATTTTAGACAAGACGTTGATTTAAATGTATTTTTATCAAATTCAAAAGGATTTTATTACTTCTGCTAAAAAAACAAAAATCAAAACAAATCTAATGTTATGTAGGTCAGAACTGCATCCATAGCAACGGTTGGTTTTCATCGCAGAGGTCTGCTATAAAGAAATGCCGCACTCGACCAATCATAATAGAGTATTCAACAAAGCCGTGTAATCATGTTATTTTCTCGAACTTAATGTATTAAAGGGACAGTTCACCTGGTTGGTAAAGATAATCCACAGAAAAATTAATTTTTCGACATGAGACTGCTCACAAGGTCTGTGGTTTATCTTGAACAACCGGGTCCCTTTTTTCTGGAGAGAGACATCGCTGTTGAGTTTTTCAAATGTATTGTTTTGGCGCTTTGAGCACCTCAAGCTGAGTGCCATATTGTCCCATTATATTGGAGAGAAGGCAGACATCTCTACGGCCGATATCTTCAAAACTAGGCAACTCACACCAAAACCATCTAGATTGATAAACAGCATAGCTAAGAGGCTAAATGTGCATTTTTTTTTAACTTTCCCTTCAAACACATTCTGCTAGAACCCTCCCTGAAAGCATATTTAAAAAATGCATTGGAGAAGTGAGGGAGCAATGGCTGCAGGAGGGAGTGACAACGTCATACACGAACAAAAGGAAGGCACAAAGCCTCATATCTTTTACCTGCCGTTCCTCTGTCAGATTACTGTTCGTAGATTATCATGTGAACACAGACATTAGTTCAGGTTTCTGATATCAGCGATGCCGTTACTGTCACTGTTTTCATCTGGTGTTTTGTCTTCTTCTAGCAGAGCTGATGAAGCAGAGTTAGAGCTGCTCTTTGACCCCGACCTCAAACAGCATGGCAGCGTTATTGATGGTAAGGAAGCCATATATAAGTTCATGGAGGATGCTTAATATTAATCAAATAAACAAGGTACCACATGCTTTGTAGACAAACACTGATTGTTACGTTCCCCGTTCTGGCATCTAAGGGATGCAGGGAGTAACGGTGTTATTTTCCCGTGGAAAGAGAGACTGAGCAAAGATGACGGGTAAAAAAAGAGTATTTATTATAATAAAGCTAGCAGCTTGCACGGCAGCAAAAGAAAACTACTTCCTGGTCAACAGAAAGCGACACTTTACACACAACAGCCCACACGGCTGGAACAAAGGTGCCAATGGTCCACAGCAACACACTCACAGCTCCACCACTACGCGTTGCCCAAGGGTTGTCTCACACGCACAGCCTCACTACTGTGGTCTGCCCCAAGAGAGTGTCCATCAGGAGCTCCTCTCCTCTTATCCACCAGCTAATCGCGATTGAACACAGCTGCGTCCAATCAGTCGCCGCAGCTGGCATCCGGGACAGAGGGTGGCACTCGAGAAGACACTGAGGGAACACAGAGGGAGAGCACAAACACAACACAGCATGTAACACTCCCTCCCATAAAACCAAACATATGTTTGATTTGGTTTTATGGCTGGAACAAAGGTGCCAATGGCCAATGGTCATAAAACCAAACATTAACCGTCATCATTACTCAGTCTCTCTTTCCCCGGGAAATAAACACCGTTACTCCCCGCATCCCTGAGATGCCAAAACGGGGAACGTAACAGTTGGGGGCTCATCCGGGAAAACACACAAAATGGTTTAAAACACTACACCTGATTGTGTTAATGTGTTGGGTCAATATCACTATAAAGTGCCTTTGGTGTCCTCATCAGAATCACTGTCATCATGAAAATGTAGCAGAATAATGAAACTCTGAGGTCTTATTATAAATGGCCAAACATTTACACACATATCAGTACAATGATAAGTATCTTGAAATGTGTTTCCTACATTTTATACCGTTTTTTTTCATTGGATATATGTGATTTTGGCATGTCCCACACACTGCTCTGCTAACTACAGTGTGTGTAATAAGTGGTTAAATGATACTAAATTTAAAAAAAATGTATTTGGTTTTATTGTCCACAACAAATTATTTGATAAAACGAGTCATTTTGATCATGTATATTCTATTTTCATAATCATATTGAACATTTTGCATGTGTCCCTGAAATTGCTGTCCACTCTGACATTATGGGGTAATTACCCCTTTAAGAAACCCTCTGATGTTTTCAGTGACATTACTACCACCATTTTGTTTTTCTTCATTGGAGGCTAAAACTGTGGCTAGTTGCAAAGTATTTACACTTATATTTCGTAATTTTCATCATATTATGTGTGTAGTTGGATGTTGTCAAGCTTAACATGTCCACCCTGTCGTAGTGAAATATCAATTAATATAAATACCTTTCAGAAATTCGAAATATATTTGTTAAACAGTACACAGTCACCTTGCTAACTGAATCATGTTGCTAACTGAAGGTCCACCATGTTCTCATTAAATGCTAACATTAGCCAAAAATGTCCACCCTGTCATTGTCCACCCTGTCAGCAAACCTTCCATGACAGGGTGGACATGGTACGTGACAGGAAGGAAATGTGTGTAGTTTATGCCACATGCTGATAATGTTACGCATACTACAACAGCTATTACACACGTTTTATAACAGTACATGCTAGTAGAGATAGTAGGAGTGGACAATATGGACTTCTTTGGCGATATCGGTATCAGCAAGCCTAGTTTGATAAGGTAAGCCTAGTTTACCTGGACCGCCAATTAAAGTGTAAAGGTTAAGTGTATGCACCGCAATGGCATAAACAAATTCCATTGGCCAAGTCTCCGGGAGGACATCTGTTGGTACCATGACTGGAAGAGAATTTGCCTAATACCAGAACCACAGGCTCTGAACAAGCGCTCTGTACAGATTGAAGCGTCTGCTTGGACGTATGTGGAATAGCAACTGCAGAATTGAGCCATGTCTCTGCAGAAAGGGAGAGACTGTTTGGAGACGCCTCTGTAACATGCTGTTTTTTTAACATCAACCGTTCTCCACTTAAAAATGTTTTTCTTCATGTTCTACAGTTGAATGTTTGACTTTTACTGTGCAGACGTATGTAGAGTTTAACTAGAAGGCCACATTAATGGCTCATTTTGGGCATCTTTATTCAGTGTGTTTGTTCAGTCTGTTCAACTGGTAATTTCCCCCTACAGTGCATCCGGAAAGTATTCACAGCGCTTCACTTTTTCCACATTTTGTTATGTTACAGCCTTATTCCAAAATGGATTAAATTCATTATTTTCCTCAACATTCTATACACATCAACCCATAATGACAAAGTGAAAACTGTTTTTTGCAAATTTTTGCAAATCTATTAAAAATAAAGAACGAAAACATAACATGTACATAAGTATTCACAGCCTTTGCTCAATACTTTGTTGAAGCACCTTTGGCAGCAATTACAGCCTCAAGTCTTCTTGGGTATGATTCCACAAGCTTGGCACACCTATTTCTGGGCAGTTTCTCCCATTCTTCTTTGCAGAACCTCTCAAGTTCCATCAGGTTGGATGGGGAGCGTCGGTGCACAGCCATTTTCAGATCTCTCCAGAGATGTTCAATCGGGTTCAAGTCAGGGCTCTGGCTGGGCCACTCGAGGACATTCACAGAGTTGTCCCGAAGGCACTCCTTTGTTATCTTGGCTGTGTGCTTCGGGTCGTTGTTGGACGATGAACTGTCGCCCCAGTCTGAGGTCCAGAGCGCTCTGGAGCATGTTTTCATCGAGGATGTCTCTGTACATTGCTGCATTCATCTTTCCCTCAATCCTGACTAGTCTCCCAGTTCCTCCCGCTGAAAAACATCCCCACAGCATGATGCTGCCACCACCATGCTTCACTGTAGGGATGGTATTGGCCAGGTGATGAGCAGTGCCTGGTTTCCTCCAGACATGACGCTTGGCATTCAGGCCAAAGAGTTCAATCTTTGTTTCATCAGACCAGAGAATTTTGTTTCTCATGGTCTGAGAGTCCTTCAGGTGCCTTTTTGCAAACTCCAGGTGGGCTGTCATGTGCTTTTACTGAGGAGTGGCTTCCGTCTGGCCACTCTACCAAACAGGCCTGATTTGTGGAGTGCTGCAGAGATGGTTGTCCTTCTGGAAGGTTCTCCTCTCTTCATAGAACAACACTGGAGCTCTGTCAGAGTGACCATCGGGTTCCTGGTCACCTCCCTGACTAAGGCCCTTCTCCCCCGATCGCTCAGTCTGGCTGGGCGGCCAACTCTAGGAAGAGTCCTGGTGGTTCCAAACTTCTTCCATTTCCGGATGATGGAGGCCACTGTGCTCATTGGGACTTTCAATGCTGCAGAAATTTTTCTGTGCCTCGATACAATTCTGTCTCGGAGGTCGACAGATAATTCCTTGGACTTCATGGCTTGGTTTATGCTCTGATATGCACTGTCAACTGTGGTACCTTATATAGACAGGTGTGCCTTTCTAAATCATGTCCAATCAACTGAATTTAGCACAAGTGGACTCCAATCAAGTTGTGGAAACATCTCAAGGATGATCAGTGGAAACAGGATGCACCTGAGCTAAATTTTGAGTGTCATGGCAAAGGCTGTGAATACTTATGTACATGTTATGTTTTTGTTCTTTATTTTTAATAGATTTGCAAAAATTTGCAAAAAACAGTTTTCACTTTGTCATTATGGGTTGATGTGTATAGAATGTTGAGGAAAATAATGAATTTAATCCATTTTGGAATAAGGCTGTAACATAACAAAATGTGGAAAAAGTGAAGCGCTGTGAATACTTTCTGGATGCACTGTACATGGGAAAAGGACCTCTGACATGTTTTTGTACATAATTTCATTTAGATTTATTGAATTTATAAGGCCATTGAATGACATTTCACAACGTGTCCACCCTGTCATGCCCAAGGTCCACCCTGTCATTTTCATGTTTTATGCAAATAAACAAATTATTTTCACAAGTTAGCAAAACCTTTTGCGTGATTCCTTTATAAACAAATGAGGGCCAAATAGTATTGTTTGAAAGTTTGACCAGATATCTTTGTTGTTAGATTTTATTTAGAAAAGAAAGTGCAACTCTCTCGGATTGATAGCGAAACAAATAGTTTGCCATAATTTCATTATTATCCAAATACTTTTCCCATTAACTAAAATATAGTGTTGAGAAAGGGACTAAATAGCTTTCTGAAAATGAACATTTTATAATCACTATGTAATTACAATGTATTTACTCTACTTTGAATTTGTCCATGACAGGGTGGACATATTTTGCTGCTTGCATGTACATTATCTGCTTGCAGTTCATTTTTTTAAAGTGTTGGAGCTTGACCAACATGCATTTCTAACAGCATATAATCTACTTAATACAATGAATATGAAGTTCTATGGAGAATCTCAGCTTTTTCTTTTGGAAATGGGGAAGTCTCAAAGGCACCTTATGGTGATATTGACTCTGTTGCTGCAGATTATGGTGAGAGGCCCCTCCCTCCTCCTCTGCCACCCGACTCTGAATATCCTTATCAGCCAAACCTGGAGGAGGAATACTACTGACAGACAGACAGAAGATCCTGATGCAAACAAATGAAGCTGATCTTCTCGTCCAGGAAACCCAGCTGTATGTCACAAATAAAAACAGGAAGACAAGTCGGATGGATTGCCAAAATTGGCGTTTGTTTTGGTTTAAAACAACTTATAATTAATCAGAATTCACGGTAAATTTGCCCTATAAGTCTGACTATTAATTAGATCTAGTTCATAGGAAAAGTTCATCTTTGAGAAAGCCTCAATTCGGGAGATTCTCTTTTTTTGCAACTATCGACCTGCAAACAATCCTCTTCTTAGGAGCACACACTGACAAGACACGGTGGCCCCGTGGTCAAAGACGCTGATCATGTTCCGCAACAAACCCAGTTTGAGTCCACTTCTAAATAAAAGGCAAACAAATAAATGTATTAATAAAATCCTAAAAGCCTTAACAAAAGGAACTGAGTCACCAACTAATGTACAGTAGGCCTACTGTTAGTTTATCAGTAAGTAACGAGTACTCATTTAGAAGTAAAAGTTGTCATAACAGCTACGAAAGAGCAAGAATGTGTTTAATTACAACACGTGAAAACACAGCTTCAGTAGAGAGTTACTTCATTAGTTTCCCACTCACAAGTCAGCTATGACGAACGTTTTACTCACCAGGGTAATTGCTGAGATGTCGGGATGCTGTGACATCACTGGAGCTGGCTCATCCGATTAGAATCAACACCGGGACCTCACAAATACAGTGATATAAATGTAATAATGACAGGACACCATGAGATCTGCATTAAAATTTTTAAATAAAGAATTCACACCTAAAAAAAAAGAGAAAAAAAATCTAAAATCAAGATAAAGTTCACATACTACATGTTGAATCCATACGATATTTATAATTACAGATATTAAATTATTTATATATATATATATATATATATATATATATATATATGGCATGTCTATACACCCTTTGTATAGCCCCCGCTACAGTTTCTCCTATCTGCCTGATTGGCTCTTGAGAAGGGAACTCATATAAAAGTCAGCGTTGCTCTCTTGATGCTGCATGTTGGCTTTGATCAGCAACAGGAGACCACTTCATTTTTTCCAGATTTTTCCATTGTTGTTGTTGTTGTTGTTGAAAGGAACAAACCATGGGGACTGGCGAGATGCCTGAACGGACAATTTTTCACATCCTTAATTAATTAATCTATCTTTCTTTTACGGACATTTAATCTTCCGTTAAATATAGATCACATAAAATAATCTGTTAGAAATTAGTGTTTGTGATGAATGATGTAGGAAGCACACTTTGTTTGCCACTGAAGAACAACTATGCTGTACCCGTGCTGGACCCAGGATGACATTAAAAAAGGAAATAGTTGAAATCCTTTGGTTTTTTTGTTCTGATCATTGAATGGTGGTATCTTAACACGCCATGCAAGAAAAGTCAATGCAATTCAAAACCTAAAAAGACCCACTTCACAGTTCACTATGGCATAAGATCAAGAAAAGCAGAAAATCTCCTTATTTGAGAAGCTAAAACTGGGGATTGTTTGACATTTTTACTTGAAAGTTAACTTAAATCTATTTCGGTCAATAAACTAATCAATTAATCAATTATTTGTTGCAGCTCTGCTTAAGTCTGTAGTTCTGTCACATATTCATAAGCAAAGAAAAAAAAATGTCTGTGTGGCTTTCCTTGGCATTTTACATTTTTTGTTTCAAAGTTGTGTATGTTATTTAACATAGCTGGTACCGAGTCACAGTGCCTGGGGGCACAGTAGCCGAGCAGTGTGTTAAATGTAGACTATCGAAAAGGTAAAGTATTGAAAAGGGCCACGGATGATTCCAATACAACGCATGCATTTCATGTCGCGTTCGGGGGTCGCACAAAATGTTTCCGCCTTTGTTCCCGCGGACCGCACTTTTGAGGGGTTGTGTGCTATAACATATTACATAGACATGTAGACATAAAGGCCCCGTGTTGGCACGATTTCAGTGTTCTGAAATATGACCTGTGACATCACAGGTACAGCACAGCAAATTTAGTGCACTGGGGGGGGGGGAATGGGAATTTGCATTCAAACTCAACACACTCGATGGCGATCCCTTAAAAATGTGATAATGTTTCACCGAGGAAGGTCACAATGATCTGATGAAAAAGAGGCACTACTAGTGAAGATATGAAGACACTCCCTTGTCAGCAGCCGTACCTACTGTGCCGAGGCTCAGCCTTATTATCCCATCGCCGCCACACTGAGAGCGTTTCATATTTCTGGTGTGGAAAACTATGAGGAGCAAGTTTCTAGAAACACCACACAAAGGAGAATTCTCGTCTTGATCTCGTCTTGAACCACCGAAAGAGCCGAAGCCAGATTTGTCGTTCAACAGCTTCGTCACTGATTTTATATCTAGTTAGAACACAGTTAAAAAAGCACAGTGTGGCTAGGCATTTAGAACTAACAGCTTTACTGGGCAAATTGTGGGAGCTGTTTAGCTTAGCACTTGAGTACCGATAGAAGCTGATGAAAAGTTTGCAAAGGAAAAAAAAATCCACGTTCATACTCCCTCACACTGTTTAAAAAAAAAAAAATCATGGACAAGTGATGCTGAGTGCATTTCAGGAGCTATTCATGATTCAGATGTTTAGTACCCTGCCTTGTCTACTCTTACTTCAATCAGCGATTACCTACATTTCCCAGAATGCCCTTCAACCTTCAGAAAAACAGATCTGCTAACTGAAACTCTGGCATTGCATTCTGTTCCACTGCCTGAAATTGTCTGGATTTGACAATGAGGTTTGGCTCCACGTTAAACATCTAAACGTGGGACCCACAACAAATGCACAGAACATCACCTGTAGCTGGTTTTATAACAGTGTTTTAGGGTGGACCTTCACATCAGGTGAGCTGAAAGGATAAAGGTCACTGTTCCTACATGGGTTTCTGTCACTTAGTGTACATTGTGTACAGTGTGAGGGCATCTCTTAGTAAATATACACCTCCCCTCATGCTCAGACAAACTCATCATGTGTTTCCAAATGTCAACCTTTTCTTTTTCTTGTTAAGTGCAAATGCAAGCTGGTGTCGTCCAGTTACGGCTCCTGGGCTTTCAGAGTTGCACCTGCTGAGATGATGCTACAGGCTAACTAGCGCTGCCAAGGCTGCAGTAATACAATGTTTGTGCTTTCCAACAGACAGCCTACAGTCACCATCTCCTCCCCGACTCCATTTTGCATATTTTCGTTATCTCAAAATGGTCCTCCTTTGGCTCATTTCCATATTTTCTTGCCGCACGGAGGTTTCACCAGAGTTCCAACACGGGCTCCTTTGTTTTCCTGCTTGTTTGTCTTGTTTATGCCTTTATTGATATTTTAGATATGACTGTCCTTCATGCAAAATTATGTTATGTACTGTACAGAGCTGTGGTTGAAGGCAGGGCAGGGCTATTCCAGGTAGATGTCCTCTGTTGGGCACGAGAACTCCACAAACTCTTTATAGTACAACTGGAAGGCTTTCCTGAAAAAAACAAAGACATGTACTTCAGTCGCTTCTAGAACTCGTCCGGATTTAGATGTGTGTATTTTTAGATATTACAGATATATATATAAATAGTTTTCAAGAACAAATCAGTGATCTGGAACAGATCAGCTCTTTCTAATAACATTAAATCGTTGCCTTTCAGCAGAATTGAAGTACCCACCCACCTCCTCCATACAAAGAATGAATAACTAAGAGCTAATTCACTGAACTCACCCTACTGACTCTGCAAGAGGTTTAGTGGAGTCTTCAGACACAAACACATGGCAGGCAAATCTCTGGTCTGCCGGGTGTTTAGTAATGAAACCAAAATACCTGCGGAGAAGACAGGGAATACAGATGAGGGGAGTCATTAACCGTTCGTTCTTTGAATACTGTATTCTGTCATGTTTCAAAAATAAATAGCTGTTTCACATTTGATCAGTAGGCAGTGAAGGGTTGCGGTCTATATGTCTGAAGTCTGGTACACTTGTTAGTTTCTAGCGACGCCTGGTGGTAAGTTAATGCAGATGAACACTAGCAGAGGGTAAAGACGTTACAGTTTGCATCCCCTTGCTTCTTTATTGCTTAGTCTGACAGCACAGTTAATGTGACCTGGTATTATAGTCCCTGCGTTTTCTGCCTTCACTTACTTGCTGTTTTTGGGGTGGTAGCCGCAGAAGGAGACGTTCTTCAACTGGAAGAAGTGGCTGCACTCGTTACTCTGAGAACGGGACAGAAAAGAGGCAAAATAAATGTCTGATTAACATCAAGAAGGCCGCTCACACACGTATTTGCCCCATTATACAGTATGTCTGTATGGAATGAATGTTAAATATTTATAATCCAAGTGAAAGTCCTACATTCAAAAGTCCAAAAGAACAAAATGATTGACAGCACAACGTACAAAAGTAAAAGTACTCATTATGCACAATGACCCCTTTCTGAGTGTTGTATTATGTATTATTACGTCCTGATCTCATTTCCAGGGCGTCGAATACAGACGCTTTGTCGAGCCCCTCTGTGTTTAGTAGCGACACACAAGACACCCTTCAGCATCTGTATGAAACAGCACTCAAGTAAATACAATATATTATGAAACAGAGAAAATGCTCCAGGAGAGTGATGACGAAGTATAAAAAAAACTTGAAAACCCGCACCGGACAGGAGGGAGGTTAATGGGTCAAACAAACAGGACTTTCAACTAGGAGATAAGTGTTTGTGACCCAAAGTGGCGTTTTAAAGTTACGTGTTATCCGCACTTACGTTATTTTTATGACATTTTACTTAGTTTACATACTTCTTTGTTTGAATTCACAACGAGTGTTTACTGCGACCGTAGTGGAACGTCATAGTTTGACATGTTGGAACGACAACATTTTGATTATTATTACTTCATAATTAAGATGTAAGCAGCATATTGCAGTTGTAGATTTTGCAGGTAGTGCTATTCCAAACTACTAAAAAGTACTATAGCACACCTATGATATTCTTCTGGGAATTGTGACAAGTGAAAAAGGGTATTATTATCTGAACAGTGGCTCACTAGCAATATCTTTATTTGGGACAGTTTGGATTGGATTTCCTGGTCCAGTTAGGTAACTTTTATTTTGTATAATGCACTTTTTACTATTTAAAACACGTTACAGTGCAATATTTCTATAAGTTATAACGTATTAACAAAGAAAAATGGTTTGTTGATGTTTACAAATCCAAGTTGCAGACATGTCTCATAAAATATCTCATAAAAAAAACTATGTAGAGCCTTATGTGAACCACAATTTGACCAAAAGTATGTACAGTTTCATTCAGAGCTATTAACCAAACAAACAAGTTGAATCAATGGTAGGTTAGACTGAAGGCAATTTGTGGGTTGTATTTAAAATGTCTTTAATCTCTCTGAGTGATCATAAAAAAGTGTTTTAAATTATTTTTAAAGAGTTTGGGATTGGAGACAAATTGTATTTTAAATATTTTTTTAATCTACAAAGTTCTTTTCTGACAAATGTTGCTTCAACGCTACAATATATTTTGTGTTTTATAAGCCCATGTGGAGATCTTGTATGTGTATATAATTTATCTTAATTTATCATATGTTCGGCATCTGAAACTGTGACTACAACTGTTACATAACTGTATTGGAGCAATGTTACTCTCTGAAATGTTGAGGAATAGAGGTTGAAAAGTACTCAAAATGGAAATACTGAAGTAAGATCTCCTTTAAGAAAACGCCCCGTAACAACTATGTCTGCAGTGTCTATTAGCAGCCACATGGGGGCGACATGCCTCAATAGTTCGATGGGATTCTGGTGTGAGGACGAGCTTTTACTTGACAAAACCTCATGAAGATCTATTTCGCATTAGACAGACAAAGGGACGGTTTGAGCACTCACTCTATCACGGGCGTAATAATCCTCTTGAACTGCAAGCTTGATGCCTTTCACACTGATCTCCAGGATGCAGGAGGAAGGCGGGTTGTACTTGACTGTCATCCGTCTGTTGGTGGCAATCTGAAGAACAAACGGAAGAGGTGACTCTCTTTGCTGATGTAAAAAGCTCACAACTCTGAAAAAGATCATTTTATCCTGTAATCCACTTCTATACAGGATGATAATACAGACGTAATACTATGTTGACAGTGTTCTGTATTGGAAATAGTCAACTTGTCAATCTAAAGTTTGAAAACTTAACAGGAAGCTAGTGTAATATGTCAATCCTATGCAATATTACATTAATTCTTCAATTGAAATGTTGCCGAACAAGAGGCTCCTTTATTTTTGTTGCTTGCTGCACTGTGGAACGATGACATCACGTTCTTAAAGTGCAGTCTGCATGTTTTCCTGTTGTCGGGTTATTTTGTAGTTGTTCCAGTGTGAACACACTTCATGCTCTAAAGACAGTTACACATTGTGTAGAAGATACAAACAGGATACAATAACATGCCACAGTTTATCTGTGTTATGTTTTTGCATTATGCCACATGTCCTCTGCCAAAGCTTTCTGGGACATGACGTTCTGCCAAATTCGTCAATGTATTGTGCTGCTGAGATATCTACTGCCAACCAGCCATGGAGCAGAGCGTGCAGCTCTGGGAGATGGACACCCAGTTAGCAGTTAGCTTGAATTCAGCCTGTGCAAACCCCAGCACTGGGGGTCTGATCCCGACTCCCCGCCGCAAACTTTCTGTTGCTGCCATTACACAGGTTAGACCCAGGCGCCAACCTCTGGTTCTGCTGAGTGATGCAGAATCTCTTTAAACTGACCAGCAGGGGGCGACTCCTCTGGTTGTATAGAAGTCTATGAGAAAATGACTTCTCTCTTGATTTATTACATCAGTAAACATTGTAAACATGAGTTTATGGTCTCAATCTCTAGTTTCAAGTCTTCTTCAATACAGCATGATGTTCATTGTACATTATGGTCCATTTAGACTCAAATAGCACATAAAACAGAGGATGCATTAGGGCGGGCTTACTGTGATTGACAGGTCGCTGCCGCTACCAGAGACGTATACAGCGTCGCTACGTCACTCCTCCGCATTACAAATATGGTAACTTCCGTTTATTGCTTGCAAAAACAACAACATGGCGACGGCCGTAAACCAAGCTGGCGATGGCGAAATCGTCAAACTCAAGGCGTCAAAACGGCAGTTCACAAACCAATTGGTGACGTCACGATGAATACGTCCACTTCTTATATACAGTCTATGGTTAGACCTAATGCTCCACCAGCTCGCTGTGACTCCAGACTGTAAATTCAGATTGTATGGACCCAGTGGTGAAATGTTGCCCTCTATCTCTTTGGAGCAGGTAACCAGGTACTACACATTGCACCTTTTAGAGTCAAATGCTTTACACACTCAAACACACACACTAATGTGCACAACATGGGTCTCGTACCTTCTGCATAGCTGCACACAGAACATCGTTTCCTTTGTGGGAGGGCACTTGAACTGAGCCCAGGAACTTCAGCCGGTATCTGTCCACCCATTCACTGCTCTTCACTGCACAGGAAAGACAATTTATTGTCGCTTTAAAATCCAGATTTTGTAGCACATTTAACGAGAAAAAGAAGAAGCCGTTTTTTCACAGCAGCAGTGGGACAGTAATATATCTGTTGTAGTTGATGGGGTTGTTGGTCAGTACCAATGACTCAGTACATATTTTAGCATCTTTCCGAACACATTCATAGTCAGCCTTCTTTAATTAATAAGTGTGACAAAGTCAGTACCTTTGTAGCTCTCAGCGTCCTTGGTCACCTCTATAGCGTAATACGCTGGGAAGATCCCACGGGCACCAGTTCGCATGTTGTAGCCCTCGTACCAGTAATCCTCCGACTGGACCTCCACCAGCAGAGGATCATCCACCTCCAGCTCCAACTCATCGTCATGACGAGGGACGAACCTGTAGCGACGGATGAGGTTATGCAAGGGATCTGAGGGAGCTCACAGGCTTTTTATGAGCTGGATGACACCCTTACACAGGTTGTCTATCTGCCTGCCTGGACCGTTGGCTCAGTCTAAAGGAAATAAACTGTTTCTATATAGAGATACGAACATTCAGACAAGCTTTTGTGAGTGCAGAGGGATTATCTGAACTACCTTTTTGAAAATTCCTTATTAAACATGGACACTGAACATATGAATACTGAACATTTCAGGTGCGCTGACCCTCGTGGTCACCTCTGAATAACTACGTTTAGACCATGTAGCTGAACCGTGTATTTGTTTGTAGGCCTGTATAGGAATCACAGGGTCTCTTCGTAATGACAACCACCTGGGACATTTCATTTGAATGTATGCATAATGTAATATTCAAACCACCCATCTACATTTAAAATAATTGTGTTAATACAGTTGGATAAGCCAAAAGCTTTGACTGCATCAATCAATGTTGCAACATTTAGAATGGATGTTGGGATGATGATGTTGCTGGTAGTGCTGATGATGCCGTTCTTCCTCACCTGTAGACAGCTCTGTGGCTCTGATCCCGCTCCTCTCCATTAATGAGGCAGGAGTATAAGCCGAAGGACTCTGCACCTTGAAAACCAGAGAAGAGAAGAGATAATTACACAAAGCAGTGTGGAGTGCCAGCCTCTGCAATCCGCTGGCGAAAAGATGATGGACCTTCACTTCAAATTGCAACAAATGTCCATCACATACACACAGAAAACACAATGAGGGCTCACTGTGTTTACTTTAAAGCTCCCATGCATCCTATAGGACCTATGAATCACACTTTAATGAAGCGTGAAACAGATGAGCTTTGTGTGTTTCTACCTACAGTCCCCTGAGACAACCGTTATCCCCCCCCACTGCACTGCTCAGATAAACTGCGTTAGTGTGTCTAATGAGTCCGTGAAACACGTGGACGGCATCGAAGAGCACAGCGAGGGCTATTAGAGGAAATTACCACACATACATTATGAACAAATCTCTGTCTGTCTCTTTCATGTGAAGAAGAAGGCTGGCTGCATCTCTCACACACACACACACACACACACACACACACACACACACACACACACACACACACACACACACACACACGTACACATGTGGGATGTGGGTCAATGACTGGCCCAAGGTGAGAGTCAGCCTAATGAAGGTGAGTCCTACAATCCTTCATGAAAGGACCCATCCTCGTTTCCTGTCTGGGACAGCAGCAAAACTATTCGGGTTCTCTGCTTGGAGCTTGCTGCTCGAGGCGCTACTAGCATGTAGCTTTTGATTGGAGTGAAATGCTAAATTGGGAGCACTCTTTTCATAATACCGCTCGCACGGTCTTGTTCGAGAAGACTTGCGTTTCAAACACCGGCGGCAGAAGCCACACCTTCAGCTGCTTCCCTTCTGAGGATTCATCGGGTTTAATACAGAACACTAAAGGTGACGGTCAACAATGTCCGCCAACGAAATGGGATCTGAAAATCTTCCGGATTATAGCGGTCAAAATACACATGGTGTGCCGAAAATATTTAGCCGATTCAGCTGAATGAAAATAGAGAAAACAAATGTCATTAGCAAAGCCACTCACTGCCTGTTACTTCTTCCTCAGTCCTTTCCAAATAGCATTTCAAGGACTGCCATTGCAACAAGACTCAGCTAACCTATTTCTTTTTTCGAATGCGTGATCAGTATGGACAACAGAGGGGAAGAGAGAGGCAAATACATGAAACCGCAAGCTGCTTTTGGCTCAGTGTCCCTCCACCCAGCAGGCCACCTAAACGTCCAGCTGGGTTGCTGCCCTGAATGCGCGGCTGTTGGAATGCTGATAACGATATCAACAAAGCAGCAGAAAAAACTGCAGCTTTCATTCACAACATTTACAAGCTGTGCTGGGTATTGTGGCCTAAATTAGTACAACTGGCATGTTAATGACAGTTTCAATCCGCTGGTATGATACAATCTCAAATGCTGTTCCCCAACCAGTTTCAGTTGTGATTCTACATGATGAAGTTAAAGCTAGGTCGGTAAGACAGACCGTCACAATATCCAGAGTTACACGTCATGCCGATGATGATCTGTGCTGTGCGAGAATATTCCAGCTCCTGGATATCTCTGTGGCTCTGCTCAGCCACATCGCTTTCAGCCTTTCCCACCACGCTGCCAATTCGGCCAGACAGCGTCCACTGCTGTGTTACTCTGCGTTTAAAAGGGAATTACAGCCCGCTGTCTCTGTGTGCTTCCTGGTTGTTTCCCGCATAATTCCACTGTATTAAGAAATATCCACATTGTCAAAATGTAAAATCACGTCTCTGAGACAAAGAGGAGGCAAAATGGATGAAGAAGAAAGTACTGATGTTTAAAGAAGCTGTGATGTCACAGGTATTGGGAGGCTACCCCATATGCACAACAAAGTGTCTTAGTTTGCATGTCTTTGCGTGCTGTATGTCTTTCTAGTTCGAACATAAACATAACATGTAAATTCAATTTTGATTTACAGCTATCTCATTTTATTTTTTATAATTATGACCAAAATCAATAAAATACCAAATGGAAGAAAATCATCATTTGTTCCTTCACTAACGACCTCCCTCTCAGTGAGAAAATAACCGTGACTTTAACCCCTTTGACACATGTTCTTTTATGACATGCTTGGCTGAACAATATAACTGACTGCTATGGCTATCATGGTTTTAATACAAGTATATATATTTTACCGTTATAGACATTTAAAAACATATAAAATAAAAAGTGACTTACTGGAGGAGCGAGAGCGTCCATTCATGAAGACGTTGAGGAACTTCTTGGAGAAGTGCAGGTCGACCTCTGGAGTGGAGTCCTCAGACAGACAAGCCGTCGCCTCTCTCCTCACTCCTCCTATCTGAATGCCGTCCTCATCATCATCCTCCTCCTCCTCTTCCTCTTCCTCTTCCTCCTCCTCCTCCTCCTCCTCGTACTCCTCCCCGATGGCCGACTCGTAGGGAGAGGAGACGCAGTTGTCGTAGACGGTTGCGGAGTCGCTGTCGTCGCTGTAGCCTTGATAACACTGCCGGAGGCTGACCAGTTCTAGCTGAGCGTGCTCGTCCACCACCAGAGTGTATTTGACCGAGTCATACGAAAGGCCGCTGGCCTCCGAGTTCATGGAAGTTCTTAGTGGGACTCTGCTGCCACCGCCATCCCCCGCTCCTCCCCCCTTCTTCATCCTTCCATCCATTATTACCCTGTCCACATCCTCATCCTCGCCGCAGTAGCTTTCGTCCGTGGCGTCCACGTACTCCACCGATGATCCGGGTCTCAGCATGACCCCGGCCTCCGTTCCCGCCCCCTTCAGGCTGAGGTCCAGCGTGAGGGAGGAGCGAGCCATGCTGGGCGGCGTGATGAGGGACTCTATGCAAGAAGAATATGAAGGTGGGGGGACGTAGACCTCGTCCTCCTCGTAGATGGAGGGGTTTGTCCGGTCTGGGAGGGGCTGGTAAGGAGGCGGGCCCTCCGTGTCTGAGCTGATGGACATGCGGCCCTGCTCAGTCTGCTGCGAGAGGAAGGGCCGGTCCTGCTCGTCGGGGGGGTCTAGAGGGTCTGCGGAGCGCTGCACGGGAGTTAGGTAGATCTCCTCCGTTGGCTCCAGATGGACGTCCATGTGGTAGCGGATCCTCTCCTGGTGGTGTCCGTTTCCATCCGCCTTCCCCGCTGGGTACAGCGGAGCCGGCGTGTAGTTCTGCGGTGGGGGCGGCGCCGGCGGCTTCTCCTGAAGCTTGGAGCGAGTCGCGGACGAGCCGTGCGAGTGTCCGGAGGTGTGGCTGTGTCTGCAGGGGGCGTCGGTGGAGGTCCCGCGGTCTTTGGTCTGCGCTCCCCCGCCCTGCACCTTGTCCTCGTCGCTCAGACAGCTGTGCTCGCGCGGAGGGGTGAGCTCGCCTGGAGGGAGAGCAGACGCAAGCGACGACGCGCACAGACGCACACGCAGGCACACGAGCATGCACAAGGGCCAGACACACGCACAGAGTAAGTACACATGATGCAGGAAAGCAAACATGACGGACAAACAAACGCACAGGCAGACATGAGGGCAGACATGGAAACAAATGCAGAAAACAGGAGGAGAGAAAAGTACAAATGGTTAGGTAATCCAGATTACTCGTCAAATATGCAGTGCAGCCAGGAGAAGACGATGGACATGTTATGTCATAATCCATCGCCAGCAAATCCAGGCTTGATATTTTCCCTGTGGATGATGCAGCACTGACTTCTGAAGCCAAAGGAGAGGGAAGGGAAGGTGAGTTCTGTGTTTGTACAGCGAGGCCCATTCAGGACAATACTCCAACATTTCACTCTTGGCTCTCCTTGAGAGGGACTACATTTGTCTTTTTGTGAAATTGTTACTTAGCAATGCACCATAACAGTATTTGATGCCAATTAACTTTACAGCAATTAACCCTCTTATCATATTCAATATGAAAAATGGAAATAAATTCCTTGTGGGGCTGCACTTTGTTCTCCATTGAATCACTTTGCAATTCAAATTCAGTAGAATTCTCTCAGGTGACTCCTTCAAACAAACGTGAGGCCAATTAGCTAGTTGACATATGAATCGAACCAGTTGTGTTCATGAACGAATCTGCAGGTTTTATCACAGTAAGTCTAAGAATCCTTAGTGCGAGTAAAAAAAACACAATAGACAATTGCATCCCCTGAATCGGGCTAATACCCAAATAAGCAGCTCCTTAAAGTTCCTTAAGTTTTCTTCTTCCTGATGAAGATGACATTACATAAATAATATATTTAAATATTATATATGTTATATTTAGATATATTACTATAATATATAGCAGCCTAATGGACAAAATAGTTTATGTCAAAGTTGTAATATAGTCTGAAATATCAAATGGCAAGTTGCAACTAAACTAAATCCAAAAGTAACTCTATATAATCTATTTAAGTAATCAAAAATAAGCTGCACACCTTTTGTATCATGTTTATTTTTTTGCTGAGACAAACATTAAAACTAATTTCGGTTTAGCATTTGGCTCAATTTCCATTTCTTTGGTGAACACAAGGTTATTGGGTAACCATATCAGCAGAACGGTTTCATTCTGTATTCTGCAACCATGGCTTGAATGATGCATAAAAACCAAGTGGATTGAGGTCCTGGTAGTGTTTTTAAACGATTGAGATAACAAGTATCACCTCTGTATCACTTCTTCCATCAGTGGTGAGTTGTTGGCAGTGAGTTTGGTTAGTCTCGCCTCACATGATGCTCTGAAAAGAGCTGTAACAATGACCAATGACAGCTCCCAGCTAGCTCGGCCCCGAGCTGGCTAACGCACATACAGTTTAATAGTGCAGCCTCGGCTAGCTACAGTTAGCTTAGCATAGCTAATCCAAGCTTTGACACAGTCCCCCTGAGGATCAGAGAGACATACACAACTGAAAGACTCAATGCAAGTGGCAGCTGCTGTGTTCGTAGCACAGGGATGAATAATATCAGAGACAGCATTCCGGTCATCACATCCCAGTCATCATCAACACAGCAAGAACATTCATTCACAGCTTGTGGGAAAGAAAAGCTCACCTGTTTTAAGAGGCGAGGACGAGCCTGAAACCTTCTCCTGCCAACTGTATTTCTTCCCAAAGGAGTTGTTGTTGAGTGTGTCCTGTGGAAAGGCAGAAAAAGAGGAAGAGGAGCAGAAGGAAATGGTGAGAGAATAAATCAGATGGGGAGTACAGAGAGAGAAAGAGAGGGGAAGATAGAGAGAGGTTTGGTCACTGAGTTCTGGATCCAGACACTCAATGTACACAACTTTTTGTCTCCCTCGCTCTCTCTCGCTCTCTGTTATGTCACTCACGCATACACACACACACACACACACACACACACGCACGCACACACACACACACACACACAAAGCTTTTATTCTGTTGAATGAGCAGGGATTCTTTTGTCTGTGCTCCGTGGTGTGCATTTAAAGGGAACCAAACCTTTATCAAAGCTACTGGATAAACACCCCCACACACACACACACACATGCACACAAATATACACACAGTGGGCGTCTCTTTAGGCCGTTTTGGGGGATTTGTTGATTGAAAAGACCTTTTCAAGGAACCGTGGCCATTTTCCGATCACAAAACTAGTTATTTTCTTTTTTTGCGTGTTAGAAAACGGTTTCCTCTCCCTTATTCTTATTTCTATAAAACAGTGATGCAGAAAAGTACTACGGGGTGTGGTCAGTACGCTGTGACATCACTATTTAGTGCGGTGATACATGCGACCGAGCACACTCGTGAAGAGGGCAGTGAGATACTTGTTACCAGCCTAGTGTTACTCTTTGGTCATGCTTTTTATCCAATCAGTGAGGAAAGATTTTATTTTAATTTGATCATATTTAACAGGGGTGTCACATTTCTCCAAATCCATTATTCCATTTAACTTTCAATTTTAAAGTCACTCACGATTCAAACTATGCCATTGCTAGACTATACAGTCTTGATTCTAAAAGATCAACATATCAATGGTTTTATGCTCTGACAACTGCCACTTAGACTTTCAAATCTTTCTCTAAAAAGATAGACCACATGGTATCAAGAGGGATTTTTGGGGAACGTACCATAACGCCATATTTAATATGTAATAACAATAACTTTTTTTCAACAATCAATTGAGACCAATAAGCTAACAATAAGCTCCACTAGATGGCAGGTACTTAACAGCTATAGTTTACAAGGTGCACCTGAATGCACCATGAAGTCCCCGTCAGTCAGTGCTCACATGCTTGACCGTACAAAACAACGGAGGCACTTCTTCGAAGTGTTGCATGAGTTATGATTGTCACCTTCATGTCACCATACCGTAGTAGAAAAAGACTGTCAGCCTTCCACAGTCTAACCTGTCGCCAAAGTACACATAAATACTACTAATGACTTACCAGATCATTCTCATCACAGATTCTCACAGTGTGACAAAGTTCAAACACACAACAGTAGTTCACAGAAAAGTCACCCTTTCGGACCAGAGGAAGACAGTTAAGTCGAGGGGTCGTGGGTATTGTTTGAATACCAGCAATACCAGAAATAATACTTTTTCCGAAAACAGCCAAAAACAGCTAAAAAAGAGTGAACATTGGACTTATATGAGGTGGACACGAACATGACTCCAATGCTAATGTTGCTCTGTCACGGCTGGTTACGATGTCAATTTAAAACTCGGCGACACGTCAATGTTTTGGTTCACAAAGCCGTCAAAGATCACAGCATCTTACAAATGCATAGAGATGGCAAAGGGAGATTTTAACAGATGGAAGTCCAACTGGAAACTCCTGTGATGATGACGATTTGATGCCCAAAATAAGATCCCATCCTCCTCCTCTGTCCACCCACATGCTGCGCATGACTCACTTCCCCATCGACGTATATACGGACAGAGCTGTCGCTGTGGTAACGAGTGAATCAGCAGGTGGTGAGACGGAAGCGTTCGTCTCGGAGGTAAAGGTCTTTTTAACCAAAGTGATGAAAAGATCATTGCTCAGGGCAGTGACTCAGACGTCGTGTGAATGTGTGCGTGTTAAGGAAGTGACTCTGATAACACATGACTTTGTCAACTAGACATCGGAGTTCTGCTGTGTGCAGATCTCAGCATCCAACTTAGTATAAGAATAAGATCAATTACTAAAAACAAGCATGTTTTGGAGTGTTTGCGTTGATTGACAGGAGTCTCAGCCTATCACACTCAGCTGGGATGGTTGCTTCTTGCTCCTCCCACCTCAGCTCCACCCTTTGACCAAATTTAGATTTGACCTTCTACAGATAGAGCTTTATAGAGCTATATGTTTTTTAAAGAAATATAAACCAAATGTTCCTTATTGATGCCTTGATATTGTCTTTGCCCATCTGCATTTTTGGACACAACTCAACGAATGTAGAATATAGGTATACCTTCCAAATCACACACACACACGCACACACACGCGCACACACACACACACACACAGTACATCAACATAAGGGGTGTCCTAAAGCCCGGTGAGAGATTAAAGTCGGACTGGGATTAAGACGGAGGGCTCGCTCCTGTTTTTCTGTCTGAATCATTTTACTTCAGCAGCTTGAGACGAGACAATCTGTGAAATAAAACCTACCCCCGTTTCTGCTAAGAGCTCATTATACTGCACATAAGCTTTTACTTTAAAGTTGTGGCTAAAATAATTGATGTACTCCTTAGAAAAATGGTTGTATTTGTATTGCCTTCAAATATATCTGCCTTAAAGCGTATTTTAGTGCTTAATACGATTCCTCACTCTGTAATTCTCTGGCACAAAACGCTGGTACTCAGCAGATAATTGGGTCTAAAAATATTGCTTTTCAAAAAGCATCGCTGCTCTAACCCTGGTCGCGTTCAGAGCTGCTTTTTTTCAACCACAGGACTCTGTCACTCGCTGCCAAATGATGCGGAGCTAATTGTATATTTTTGCATTTTTACCGATCCACTGACCTGGAAACAGTCAGCCGGTGTGCTGTCTCTCTCCGTCTCCTGTCTCTTCTTACAGTACAAACTGCCTGGAGATCATCACTACTCATCTATCTCAACTCATTTGAATGGTGTCTGCGCTGCCTGACTGATGTTGTGTTCACACCAAAGCGACCTTTTCGCAGGGCGCGATTACATACAAAGTCAATGCAAAGACGCTAATTGAAATATTTCAACTCGAGCGAGAACTTCCGCACTGAGATTCTCCTCCTGTTGTTGTTGTCCTGACGTTGTTGAATCAGAAACGGAGGAAAACAACATTGTCGCTGTCTGTAGATGCACCCAGAGCTCTACTGTAGCACCTCATACTGTTACAGAAACTGGATGAAACTAAATGTATGTGTATAAATGGTCTATGGTAAAAACAGTAATGTCACAACTGTATTTACGCCTACATGACGATGGAGCAGCCACAATGTTGCGATAGCTGAACGATCAGGACTCATTCAGAAAACAAGCATTTTAAAAAGTTGTTTGTTTGTCATCTTGGGGACAGGCCTGACTAAGATGAATGACTTTTTACAAATCTGCATCATTGTTTAGTTATTTCGGCATCCTTTTATCTGTTTATTGCAACTAAACCACAGTCAAACCTGTTTATTTTGGGTTAATAACGCCGTAATAAACCAGCCGACAAAATTCACCGGGCTCCTTCGGATGATGCTATGAACCCAGACACGATGGCGTTTGGTTTTCAGCGTGTGGGACTTCCACTACATGCACAAAACAGCGTAGTGGTTATTTCGGACACGGCTGATGAATTGTTGTTGGTGTCTAGATGCATGTAAGCCCCTCTTCCTCTCTCCGGCACGTCAAACGCGAGTGACAGGTATAAGCATAAATGATCCCGCCGTCAAACTCGCTTTGTGTTCGGTGTGAACTTTCTTTGTCAGGTGGAGCGTTTATCGTGTCTCACTTAGAGACGTGCTGGAGAAACAAATCTACCACAAAACAAAAGAAGGTCTGAGGAAAAATAACTTTCATTACTTCTGTGAAAATCCATGCAGGAAGAGTCACCAGATTCAACCAGAACCAATTTCTACACCAACAGGAGTTAGACACAGAGCATAATGCACTGCAGATGTATTGTGGTGATCTGTCATCCGATGTGTGTTAAGTACAAGGCCTATTCAACCTTTAAGCTGTAACACTTTGTGTATGTCATCCGCAGCTGAGACAATTTATGCCCCTATCATACCTGATGGACACACATGCATCCAGGTGGAGAGGCTCGGCGTTCGTGGTCCAAGTTCTTATAGTATTATAGAGTATGATGAATATTTTCAAGGACACATTGAAGGCGCTCTGTTGAACATTATTCCACTGTACTGCAGTAGAGCAGAGAAATGTGTTTTATCCATCAAACAAGCACAAGAAAATACAGCGTTTCTAATGGAGACTGTCGTCATTTTATACATAATCAATCATATATATATATATATATGATCATATTGTTATGCAGTTACGATTAACATAAAGGTTTCACAGCAGTTTGCAGAGCAAACAGCCTTTCTGACAGCCAGGTGGTTCAGTTCGCTTTAAGCATTTGAGTCTGTGAGCGATAAATTAAAGCTAATGATTTATAGATGAAACTCACAACACAGAGCAAACAGCTATAGATCCTCACATTAAACAGACAAATTCATTACAAACACTAAAACATCATCTGTGAATATGGAGAAGCTACGCCACAATCATTAAAGATTCTCGGTTCCATATTAGTGCGGCTGAGCTGTCGCCATGTTGAGAGCTGTGCGGAGACAATATATTATATTTCTTTTTTGCTGAATCTCGTAAGATCACCCAACATCTGCTGCTGATGGATGTTACGTTAATGACACGTTGTCTGTTGCTTCATGTCTTCAGAGTTCATGCAAAGGCCACTTTCGGGAAACCTTCACCCACTTATCATTGAAATATTTTTGGTTTTCTAACTGCTGAATGAAGAGAGTGAACAATGTCCCAGGAGACGGGAAGAAAAATGTTTCAGAGCAATTATTCCCTTCATGCTTTCCAGTTCTGACAGCTCAAACACACACACACACACGCACGCACGATCACAGCACAGCAGCAAGAACAGTCGGCTTGTTTCCACCTCATGGAAACTGAGCAAAGAACAAAGCGCAGACAAATATAGAGCTGCTTGGTTGATCACGCAGACAGCCTTCACTATGGGGGAGTGCGTGTATGTTAGACTCAGTGGCAAAGTCACTATAGATTAATGTATACATTGCAAAACAAGAGCATCACCATGCAGACATTTACAGTTCTAGAGACCCTGGCAGGTACGTTTGATGTGAAAGGGGTCGCTCACGGCAATAAACTCAAAGACAATTATCACCTAACTCTGGTTGAGCCTCTTTTAGAGCATTTGGTTTTACAGCACATTTACTGTATGTTTCACTCTCACTTCTCTCATAACTAGGAGGCTATCCTGGCACGTTCTGATGAACCCACTGTACACCACCTTCCCAGCACAACATGCCATACTCTGAGGAGGGGAAAACAAAAAAGTGTCAGGTTAAAATCAGGTGACACTGTAAGACATTACAGTGTCCGCCCTCATACGCGGACATGGATGGACCAACACACACGTCAACACTGACCATGATCTTCACCTAATTTTAAATCAGACATTCATTATTGTAACGATGGCGACATAACTCCCCTAACCTCAACACAGTTGTTATTTTAACCCACACCATGATCCTCTCCTAAATCTCACGAGTCCTTTTTGTGCCTAACCCGAACCCGACCTTAACCACATCGACGTCACAGCATGGAATTGATTTAATTCACCGACGAATGATGTCATTCGTCAGATCATATCAGAAAACGCTTGTGTGTAGTTACAAATGATGTATTTAGTTGTTTAATTTGGAGAAACTTGCAGTAGTCTGTGTTTAATACACACACACACACACACACAGACACACACACTTAGTGAAGAAAAACATGGACCATAGCTCTGCTGTATGAACAGGAGGTGGACGAACACACAATGCATGTTGACATGAGATCAACATGCATTAATCAACACTTGCGCACACACACATGCTCATGTTTGTATGTCTAAACTTGTGAGGACCCTTATTAATACCGTACATTATGTAGCTTCAAACTTTCTTTCCTCCCAATGTCTTTAACACACAAAAACAGGCTATTTCTTGCTTTTGTAGTTCACAGGAAGGAGGCACTGTTGAATGTAGTTTTATGTATTATGGGTTTATGGTCTTTATGATGCCAGTATTTTATGTCTCAAGGTATGTGCAGGACATGTTTAATACCGTGTCTTTGGTGTACCTCTGTTCTGTCTTGTTGGCCATGTACTGTTGATTGCAGCCGTGTTAAGCACTATTGCCCACTATCTTATCTTATCTAAACCTAGTTCTAACCTTAAGCCTAAAAGTAACCCCCAAAGACAAAATGTCTTCCCCCTCTGGGGCATAAAGCGGAAATTGGTCCTCACAAAGATTGACGTACACGAACACACACACAGTCACGAGCTCCAGCAGCATTCAAACACAAACAGAGACGGGCACCAAGGGAAAAAAAAAAATCTCTGTCTTGACAATTGATGCTATTGTTCAGTCCAGTGGACACATCCTGTCAGAGAAACGATTGTAGTGAATCCAATGGTGATGTCAGGCACGTTGTTGATACATATTTACATTTGTGTGTGAAGAGGAACCCAGACAGGCAAGACACACAGACACACATCTTCTTCACTGTAAGTCCACCCCTCCTTCTTATTGATCAATATCCAATCATCTGCTGCAAACTCTGTGTGTGTGTGTGTGTGTAGATAAGGTTTATCAGGCTCTACCTGTGTGCGCGGCACAATCGAGATGAGGTTAAGGGTCGTGGGTCTCTTGGGCCGGTAGGTATCCATAGTAACAGGTGTCGCAGGGTCCTTGGTGACTGGCGGGGGTGCGATGGCTGACGCCTTCGAGGACTCTTTGTCACAGCGGTAACCGTCAGCACCGTCGATGAGTTCCAAATGCAGCATCTCTGCCTGGATCTGGCCGACGGCACCGAGCTCTGCCCTCCCCGACATGCTATTGGTTCCTCTCCTCACACGGCCCTGCAGGGATTGGAGCAGATGCGCCGTCAGTCGAGGCAGAGAATGAGAGAGAGAGGCAGATGTAGAGAGAGAGAGAGAGAGAGAGAGAGAGAGAGAGAGAGAGAG